GGTGGACCGCTAGAGGCCTACCGCTGGCTGACACCATAGGAGTACTGGCGTCGCCATCGGTGTCCCGCCAGCGAGCCACTAGCGGCTTTCGTGTAGGGATATTGTTATCAAGGATTGACCGTAAACGCACATACAAAAACAACTATTTCTGTTTGAATTTCTAGGATGAGGAGTTATGATTCACATTATTTAAATTAGGATTATTTTCCTCACCTTTGTTATTATTGTCACATCGCTTCAGCCTTTTTAACCGCCGGCCTTTGTCAGGTGTATAGCGATCTCCGTAAGCCATTGTGATTTCTGAACTTAACCCTTTATTTAATCTACTGGGGTAGACTGTTTTCGTTCCACTGTTCGTGTCTAGATTTAAGGCTCCATATTCCCCATAGAAAAACTGTGCATGACAGAAGAAATGTATTTTAAAACGGAGATATTAAGGTATCCCGCAAATTGTTATGGTATCGAGCGCGTATATTAATACATTTGTCAGACTCTCACAAACCAGTTTGTTTTGCTTTGTACAGGAAAAAAGTTGACAAGGTACATCGGAGAATCGTCAAAGATTATGGCTTGTTTACTTAATGACGTAATATAACTTTGGTTATGTTAATTAACTTTTGGTGAATATAATATTAATATTTAATGCTCTGCTTTCCAGAGTGCCAATTAAAATCTACCATTTCCCCTACTGTTTCTCGAGAGGAAAATATGGACGCAGACACTCACACAAATACATGAATGAAAAAATATGCTCTCCTCAGTGCGTTAGTTCGTATATATGCATCTTAGGCGATACAGATCTACCTATCTATACCAGATTATTTATTTCTATCTATCTATCTATCTATCTATCTATCTATCTATCTATCTATCTATCTATCTCTCTATATATATATAATTCTCCTCTCTTTTTATATAAAAATCTTTAAATAATTCTAATCTATTTTATTTTTAGCTATATATTTTTTAAGTAATTCTAATCTCTCTCTCACTCTCTCTCTCTCTCTCTCTCTATATATATATATATATATATATATATATATATATATATATATATATCCAACTAATTCTAATCTTGCAATCTATTTTTATCTAAATCTCATCTATCTATATATCTATTTTTAACTAATGCTAATATATATATATATATATATATATATATATATACTTTAACTAATTCTAATTTATGTATTTCAAATTTTCATTTTCATCTCTCTCTCTCTCTCTCTCTCTCTATATATATATATATATATATATATATATATATATATATATATATATATAATCTAATCTCTTCCTCTCTATATATATATACATAACTAATTATAATTAATCTATATATTTTATACAAATCTCATTTATCTATCTTTAACTAATTCTAATCTCTCTCTCTCTCTCTCTCTCTCTCTCTCTATATATATATATATATATATATATATATATAATTTTTATCTGTCTATCTATCTACCTATCTATCTATCTATATATATATATATATATATTTATCTATCTGTCTGTCTGTATATTATATGATCATTCTCTAGTCAGTATCTATTTTCATAACTATTTAATATCTGTTTATCTGTTGACTGTTTAATATCTATAGTCAATACCTTTTTATCTATCCGTTTTCTATTAAACAATGACCTATAGCCAATATCTATCTATCTACATTTGTTAAAAGATTTGTCAGTAGCTATCTGTCCAATCATCTACGTCCGCCCACATATATTTCACTATCTATCTATCTATCTATCTATCTAGTCAACGACGTCTATTTGCATATATATTAAGTATTTTTCTATCTACTCTCTGATTAAAATTTTCTACACACATATAGACGTAAAGCACGCAAAATCTATAATAATTTTAGAAATAGTAATAAATAATTTCAATAAAATCGATATATAATTTTCCCTAGCAAAGTAATATATTTAATATTAATAGTCGATTAATTAAAACTCCTGCCAACGTGTAAGTAAGTTCAAAGAAAATACGAACAAGTAGGGAAATTCTGTTTAAAATCTGAAAGGGATAGAGTTTTTGAGGAAAGATGGCTTAGAGAATTAAACACACATAAGGCATACTGATGGAACTACAAACAGAGTGAAACAGTTAGTAACACACCTAATTTGTTTTAGTGAATGCATGGCAAATCGAGGACAAGGCGATATGATTATGTGTCAAATTTTGCTGAGAGGAACAAGGGAAAAGAGGTTGTGGAGAGCCTTAATCATCAACACCCCGATCGAACACGGCACATAAATGAAAAACGGTGTTAATGAATGACAGAAAGGGAACAAGGAATGAGGCTAAAGATTCAAACGTTGGTTAAGGCAACGGGAAAGAAGAAATTGTGGGGAGATATGATCCTCTAAGTGTAAACGGCTCATCAAAGAAGTAGATCATTCTCTTTGTTTTCATTCTGCCTCTCCCAGACTCTACGTTTACGTTGATGTCACTCTTTCAGTTTTCTTTTCTCAATCGATCTCAGTGTTTTGTACCTAAAACCTACAAAATATTCGTGCCTAACGCAATAAAATTTTTAACACGTTCTAATTTCATTCTCGTATCGGCGTGTCTCTTTGCTTTGCGCGCATGCGTACGTGCGTACAAGGGTATGTTCGTGCGCCTGCGCCCGTGCGCGATCCGAGGCGAAAGAAACATGTCTCCCGTTTCTGCAGCTGCGGCGATGTGATTAGTCACTTTCATATCTCTGAAGATTTTGGCAATATCAAATTTCTATCAGATAACTTTCATCAAACGTTATGCGAAAAAAAAAAAAATCAGTCATTCTGAACTCAAAATAGAGTTACGAGAAAAAATAAAAAATAAATGAAACAGAATAAAGAATACATCTCCGTAGATCTTATATTAAGTAACTTACGTTATATATATATATATATATATATATATATATATATATATATATATATATATATATATATATATATATATATATATATATATAATTTTTTCTGCGTAGGATTGAATATATAAAAATATATATACATACATGTATAAAAACTACTAATCTAATAAGCACATATAATTTTTATATATTCAATCCTACGCACAAAACTAATAATATATATATATATATATATATATATATATATATATATATATATATATATAAACGTTACACTTAATATAAGATATACGGAGATGTATTTTTTATTTGTTTTCATTTATATATATATATATATATATATATATATATATGTGTGTGTGTGTGTGTGTATATATATATATATATATATATATATATACTTATGTTTTGTGACAAGTAAATAAAATTTGGTGAAAAGCAGTCTACAAAAAAAAAAAAAGGAAACATCTGTGACATAAAGAAAGAATGAAAGAAAAATAATACCAAAATCAAAGACATAAAATATCAAAATTTAAAGAAAAATATTTAATGCTAGAATACTTCGGATGAAAAGGAAAGGAAAACTAAAGAACAAAGAGAGAATAATTAAAGAGTAATAAAAGACAAGAACAAACAAACAAACAAACAAAAAAAAAAGAAACCTAGCAAGAAACTCTGGAAAGAAAAATGGAAGCCAGAGAATTTTGAAAAATAAAGGATAAATGAGATTTATAGAATAATTAAAACATTATGGCGCATGTAAAAATACGTAACAGAGTAAAGAAAGAAAAAAAGAAGTAAAGAAAGAAGGAAAGAATACACTATAGGAAGAAACCCCGAAACATATAGTGAAATAAGGGAAAAAAAAGGAATTAAATAAAACATATATCAAAAGAAAGGGGGAAATATATAAAGAAGGTGAGAAAAATAGATAGATAGATAGATAGATAGATAGATAGATAGATAGATAGATAGATTAAAAATGATGTCTCATGAAAAATGACGTAACAGTGAAGAAAGAAAGAAAGTGTGGTAAGAAAGAAAGACAGAGTAGCATTTTAAGGAAACGAAAGAAAGAAAGAAACATAGAAAGAAAGAAAGAAAGAAAGAAAGAGAGAGAGAAAGAAAGAAAGAAATAAAGAATGAAAGAAAGAAAGAAAGAGAGAAATAAATAAATAAATAAAGAAAGAAAGAAAGAAAGAAAGAAAGAGAGAAATATCATAAGTAATAAAGACAGAATAGCATTTAAGGCAAAGAAAAAAGAAAGAAAGAAATGGATTACGATAAAAAGATAATAAATTCAGGAAAGAAAGAAAGTAATTTAAAATATACGCACAGCGTAAAACAAAGCCATAGTAAAAATCGTACAATATAAATATATGTTAAGTATATAAGAACATAGTATACAATAAATAATATAAAGATATTTTATTCAATATTATGAATTGATCCTAGATCACTTCTTGTAGAAGAAAATGTCTTTCATTTCAGACTTCCTATTTTCTCCTCGGGTCGGAAAGTTGGACGGTCAAAAGAAAACATCAAACAAAATTCCATTTCTATGCAATTTGCTCGATTTTTAATGGTTCGTTCAATGTGCATTGTTATATCGCAGTGTGCACAGCGTAAATCCATAAGCGTTCTTCCACAATGCATGGCTGTACTGAAATGCGCATGTCATAATCTATTTGATTCTGTGATTATCTGACCTTTGCGATGAAAAACAATGGTGAAGACGAACGCAAAGACCCAAGATATTCATCTTTCATTTGACGCGTCGCATCGGGCAAATCTGTGGCATTCACCTCACTGCTTGTGAGGCTTTTAGAACTTATTAGGTTTGGCCATATTTCGTACGAATTCTACTGGCTCCAGTGTATTGAAAAATGACGGCCATTAACTGTGTTACAGAAAAAAGGAGGGAAGGAAAATAATGAATAAAAGAAAATGAAATGAGAATGGAAGGAAAATAATGAATGAAGATTGAAAAGTAAAATATGCAAAGAGAGAAGGGTGAAGAAAAAACAGAGGAGAATGAAATTATTGGTATTGGGAACAATTTGAATAAATAATAAAAGAAAGAAAGAAAAAAGAATACAACGTAAAGGTTTATTTAAACAGAGAAAAGTTAAAGGAAGAAAGAAAAAATCAGTAGAGAATTGAAAGCATCAAAGTTTGGAGAAAGAAAGAAAGAAAGAAAGAAAGAAAGAAAGAAAGAAAGAAAGAAAGAAAGAAAGAAAGCATTTTGTGGAGAATCTAGAATTAGGAGAAAACTGAAGAAAGAAAGAAAGAAAGAAAGAAAGAAAGAAAGAAAGAAAGAAAGAAAGAAAGAAAGCATAAAAGTGCATATGAAAAAGTAAGGAAGAGACAATTGAGGAAATCGTAGAAAACAAAATTTGAAAAAGAAAGCAAAAAAGAAAGGAAGAAAGAAAGAAAAAGGAAGAAAGAAAAAGAAAGAAAGAAAGGTCTAAGCTAAATATTTTGATAAAAACATTAGAAATCAGAAGGGTTTGAAAAGAAAGAAAGAAACCAACAAAGAAACAAAAAATATGTTAGAATAAATACTTTATACAAAAATCAAACGCCAGAAAGTTGTGAGAAAAAAGAAAGAAAAAAAATGAAAGAAAGAAAAAGTAAAGGATAAAAATCTTTGCATAAAAATCAAAAGTAGAAGATGATGAAAAGAAAGAAACAAAGTAAGAAATCAAGCAAGTAAAAAAGAAAGAAAATAAAAGTTAGAATGGATATTTTGTACGAAAAATAGACGCGAGAATCCTGTGAAAACAAAGAAAGAAAGACAGAAAGAAAGAAAGAAAGAAAGAAAGAAAGAAAGAAAGAAAAGGGAAAGGAGAAAATTTTATATAAAAATCAAAAAACAAGTTTTGGGAAAGAAACAAGAAATCAGGCAAGAAGGAAAGATACTAAGAAATTAGAAATATATTCATATATATATATATATATATATATATATATATATATATATATTAAGAAATTTAATATTTTCATATAAAAATTAAACACCAGAAGAAAGAAAAAAAAAAAAAAGAAAGAAAGAAAGAAGAAAAAAGAAAGGAAAGAAAAAAAGGAAGGAAGAAATAAAGAAAGAAAACGGTAAGGAGAAAATTTTATATAAAAATCAAAAGACAAGTTTCTGGAAAGAAATAGAAATCGATCAAGAAGGAAATATATTAAGAAATCAATTAATAAGAAAGAAAGAAAGAAAGAAAGAAAGAAAGAAAGAAAGAAAGGAAAAAAGAAGGAAAGAAAGAAAGAAAAAAAGAAAGAAAGAAGAAAAAGAAAGAAAGAAAAAGATAGAAAGAATGAAGGAAAGAAAGAAAGAAAGTGAGAAAGTGAGAAGGAAAGATAAAATTGGAAATTTCTATCATCGGATAACTTGAAGTAAATCAATAAAAGAAAGAAGAAAGAAATTATGTCATGCGGACGAAAGAAATAAAACAAATACAAATGAAAAGAAATGGGTTGTATCAAAACAAACAAACAAACAAAAACAAAATCAAAAAAAGAAGGCCCCTTGTGTAATTGTGCATCTGCACCTGCGACAGGAACATGTTATTGTGTTACCATGGCTCATATGTCTCCGAATTCAATGCTTGTTGAGCGGAACAGTGGGAGAGGGGAAGGACGTTTTCCCTGACAAAATGTGCAGATCATCAAACGACAACAACCAACAGGATTCACCAGTTGACACTCACTTCCTCCACACGGCGACCATTCATCGAAAACAGCCGTCATCTGAGTGTCACGTTTATGGCCGAAACACTGGCCAGTGTATGCTCGTCGGACCGCACGTGACACTGAAGAAAATCAATAGCTATAAATGAAGGAAAGCAAGTCCAGTATAAGGGACTTAATACAAAGGGCGTAATTGATTGGATCACAACAGCACTGAGTAATGCGGTCGCACTCGCGACAGATGAGGAACAAAAAAAACAAAAACAAAAAAAAAACAAAAAGGAAAAAAAAAACAAAATGGACGTATTTAAGGAGATTAAGTAGGCTAACGGGAGTGTGTTTGATGGAGATGTCAAGTCTAAAGAAGAGAGAAAGGTTGAGAGGGAACAGAAGAAAGAGGAAACAAAGACAGTTAAATGGG